TGAGAGTCCGCATGTTCCTGTGAGCCCCTGTCCTCTGGGGAGCTGGCCGCACACTCGCTGCTGCAGTGACTGCCCGTGTCTGGGATGCTGAACCCCTCAGAATCCCCGGAAGTGCTGCCGTGCCCCGAGTCCTTCTCCACCTCCGCTCCGTCCGTAGGGTCCCTGGGTCCCTGACCGGAACTCGTTGCCTCTTTCTGAGGTCTCAGGAAGCCTCTGTCAGAGACGGCATCTGAGGTGCTAGAAGATGGCATACCCCTTTTCTGTCCTGGAGGGCTCCTTCTTGCTTCTGGAGTCTTTGGGCTGTGAGGCTTGTTCTCCGTTGTATGACGAAGAGAAAAGGCCTCTCGCAGTCTGGAAATGGACACGTCCCTTTTTTCTGCTCCAGTCTTTAATGAAGAGGAATGATCCTGCTTTTCTACCAGGGGCTTCTCCAAATCTGCTGCATGCATTTTTACTAAGTTACCTAAGCAAACGTGAACGGAGAAGAGGGTCAGGGACTATCCCGAAATGGTGAGAGGACGTGCTTATGTGAACAGATACTTCACAAAAGAGGAGATCTGCATGCTAATTACACAGACAAACACGGTTCAGTGCTCAAAATAAAACTATAATATGGGCCAGGTGTGGTGGCTCACGCCTGTTATCCCAGCACTTTGGAAGGCCAAGGCAGGTGGATCACATGAGGCTAGGAGTTTGAGACCAGTCTGGACAACATGGCGAAACCCTGTTTCTACTAAAAATACAAAAATTAGCCGAGTGAGGTGGGGCACATCTGTAATCCCAGCTACCTGGGAAGCTGAAGCACGAGAATCCCTTTAGCCCAGGACGCAGAGGTTGCAGTGAGCCAGATGCCACCACTGCTCTCCAGACTGGGTGACAGAGCAAGACTGTTAAAAAAAAAACAAAAACCAAAAAACAAAACAAAACAAAAAAACCCAACACAATACGATGTGGCCATATACTCACCAGAATGGGCAAAATTAAAAAACAACAAATTCTCACACAGATCAGGATTGAGGGGAATGACTGAATACCTCTGGTAGGAATGAACCTGGTACAGCTGCTTTGAAAAGCTCTCTGGGAATACCTCCTAAATCTGAATGTATGCACACCTGCAACCCAGCATAGCCACTACTATCAGAAGTGCCTATCGGCCAGGCACAGTGGCTCACGCCTGTAATCCTAGCCCTTTGAGGTCAGGAGTTCAAGACCAACCTGACCAACATGGTGAAACCTCGTCTCTACTAAAAATACAAAAAAAAATTAGCAGGGCATAGCGGAATACACTTATAATCCCAGCTACTATGGAGAATGAGAATGAGGCAGGAGAATCACTTGAACCTGGAAGGCGGGGGTTGCAGTGAGCCAAGATCACTCCACTGCACTCCAGCCTGGGTGACAGAGTGAGATTCCCTCGCAAAAAAA